TTATGAAAAAAGGGGTTGACATATATAATAAAAAAATAATAATAATTTGACACTATTACATAAGTGGGTTTATTTATGTTTTATATTATTTTATTTGTAATTCCACGTCGTAAAACTACTTGACTTTTTATTAGACATAAACTTGAAAATGACATGATCATGAGTGTTTTGTTTGATAATCAAAACCCAAAAATTAATAATAATTTGGACACTTATTTAAGTGCAGTTTATTTATGTGTTTATATTATTTTTATTTGTAATTCCGCCGTCCGTAAAGCTCCTTGACTTTATTAGACATAACTTTGACATGACATGATCATGGGATTCGTCGGTCAAAATTGTAAGTACTGAACGAAGAGGTAACATAAAATAATTTCTTTTTTACATGAACAGGTGTAACGAACGGCTTTCTCGTCTAGACCGACCGTGATGTTACAGAGGACGACACCTCTTGTGGGAGAAGCGATCCCTGTCTCCATCGTCTATGTCGGTCCATCGCGAAACGATTTGTACCGTTGTATTTCCATAAACCGCAAACATTTTTCGAAACGAGCCAGATTTGAAAAACGGCTCACACCTCCGATTTACGATCACCCCTCAACCCAAACGTGAAGCAGGAAAAAAGAAAACCAATGGCCACTATAAATGGCAAGCCCACTACGGGACAAAAGTTTACTCACACGTTCAAACTAACATAACGGTCGGCCGCATTGGTTACAAATCAAACTTGTTTACGGCTGTTTGTCGAAACCAACCGGGGTGGACAGAAACAGGCAGTAGGAACATGCTATTTGCACGCTTTGTGTTTACAAGGGTTTTGACCTCTTGAAGTTACTCGCCTCCTAAAGCTCAAAGTTGAAATGACGACAAAAAGCGCGTAAAACTTTCAACGGAGTTTAATTGACTGATTGTAACTTTCGCGTAGGGAGGACGTCAAGAGTATCATTAGGAGAGGCAGGAGGGGATTGTCGGGAAAGAGATGGCTGTTTGAGGAAGCTCCCATTTATTAACATTTCAACAAACAAGTTGCATATTTGCATAACGTATTCAAGTGTTACCATTTAGTGCAATAGTAGCTACAGAACATGTACTGTACTGTGCTGTGTAAACTGTACTGTATCACATAGCGTTTCAGACACACAAACTTTTCAACTTTCAAACTTAAACGGTGCGCTCCCAGCGCACGTACCGGCAGTGATCTACAGCAGTGGTTTTCAACCAGTGGTACGGGGACAAACTGTCTCGCTCTCGTAATGTCTGTCTGTCTTGCTCTCGTTCTGTCTCTCGTACCACTCTCGGTTCCACTTTTACTTTTGCGCGCTTCCTGTCTCACTCTTTTCCGGCCTCCAGCTTTTCCTGCTGGAGCCCGCCGCATAAAGGTGGGGGGCGCGGACCGGCCATAGAGCCCATAGAGTTAAAGGTGGTGGACTGTAACCTGTAAAATCTATAGATTTAGGGGGTCCCCTAGTGGCCGTTAGCTGTAAAAATCCATAGATTAGCCGCACCGTTATATAAGCCGCAGGGTCGAAAAATGGGAAAAAAGGCGCGGCTTATAGTCCGAAAATTACGGTAAATACTTTTTTGCCCCACTGTATATAAATACTTTTTTGCCCCACTGTATATATTTTATGTTTTGTGATAATTTTTTCTGCTGTACCAAAAACGTACCGAACCGAACCGTGACTTAAAAACCATAACAATAAATAATTTGCAATCAATTCAAACCCTCCTAACCATTTATTTGCCATTTAGTTAACGCTCACGTATAAAAAAAACTTTCTTATAAGGCACTGTAATAACCTTGATGTCCTCCCCTCTGCAGGCTCCATCTTGCTGCATGCTGGAGACTTGCAACATCTGGGCTGGCTGGGGCTCCAGTGGACCCTCCTGGCCCAGAGGCCGGCCCTGCGGAACTGGCTCCAGCAGCTCTTTCCCAGGCTCACTCTGGACACCTCCAAACTGGACACCAACGCACCAGAATCCATTTGCCTGCTCGACCTGGAGGTAGGTGGACACATGTGGGACAGAGTTTCACAAGATGAAGCTTGTAGGGGAAGGTTACAGATCTACAGTTTTCACTCATCTCCCATACTCTCCGCATCCCAAGAGTGTTACAGATGTTTGAAAAAGATTAAATGATGCAAGGTGTGAAATAACAGGAACATGTATTTATACCGTTCTATACAGGAAATGGTACATAGAATTTGTCAATGTCATTCATCCTGCTTTTAGCCATAAATGTCGCATTTTCCTAAAACTCACATAGAACATTTTCAATAAGTATTTTTCAGATATCAGCAGCTGAGCAACATATTTTTTAAGATGTCAAACAATGCATTTTCGGAAATTACAGTACTTAATAATCTATAATGTTGTGTACCTGTTCTCGTGAACCTGCAATCTGTTTATTCATTTAAACTGCTGAACTTTCTTAGCTGTGTGAATTCTGTCACTTGTGAGTGGGTATGTGCAGGGCTCGACATTATAAATGGCCCGCTGGCCCGGAAGCACTATTTAGACCCCCCGGGCCAGCATAACGTACTTTCCACTTGCCTGTTCGGGCCACTAAAAATATGTGTGTGAAAACTGCGGCATTTGTACAGCTCCTTATGGGTACTACAATTTGTGAAGTGCTTTCCTCCGTGGTGAAACGATCAGCACTGCACCACGGAGGAAAGCGGCAGAAAGTCGCCTGGAGTTAAAGAGAGCGGGGCTGCGTTGCTTGCATGGCTTCCTTCTGCAGGTAACGGGTAGACGCGCTCTGGCGGCGGTCTCGTTCAGGATCCGAAAATACAATTTGAATATTTTGCACACTTATTCCTAGTGTGCCACTGGTTACGGTGCCTACATTAAATGTGTGAACGACTGTACCGAGCAGTATGCAATCAGTGTGCAATTGCACAAATATCTATAAAAAATGTTAAATCCTCTTGTCTCTTGTCTGCTTTACTCCACCCAGGTGTTTTTATACGGTGTTGTGTTCTGTAGCCACTGTCAGCTCCAGGAAACTGCAAAGATCAACAGCGGAGGGAACCAGCAGCAACAACAGCAGCTGTACGAGCCTCGCTGCCTCCCCCTTCCTCTCCTCCGCCTCCTGACCACCGACAGACAGAGGGAGTGGTGGGACGCCATCTACAGCCTCATTCACAAACAAGCAGCGTGAGTGAAAGTGGGCCTACAAATATGCATTATGTTTACCAAAATATCAGCTTTTAAGTGGCATACAACAACCAGTTACAGGGTCTCGTATCATCATTATTATGACCATTACATAGCGAGTATGCAAATAAGTTTTGCTAGTGAAACATGGATAGAGCTTTTGGTTTTAAGTTTATAAATGTAAGCATTAAACGTGAATTGTCTTCGCTTAATGCCCTTAATCAAAGTTATTAATGGATCCAAATATTTTGGCTTTCAACAGTTTGAACTTATGAAAAACATTTAAAGCAAGAACAGTGTTCAAACTGGTTGACACCAGGATTCAATCAACATTGAACCTCTTTGCGACAATTTCAATGATAAGGAAAAAACATGACATTTTCACTATAGCACTTGGCTACCTGCTTCACCTACTCTTTGTCCCCACTTCATCCCAAAGTCAAAGAAACAGGTTCAAACAGAGCAATTGTTTATTTTTGTGTTCATATTTGTATCTGTTTAGTATTCAGTGCTTTTGTTGAATGTCTCCTTGTAGTCCTGGCATGTCGGCTAAACTGCGGATGATTGTGCAGCACGGACTGAGCACTCTGAGGGCCGGAGAGAAAAATGGGCTCCAACCAGCGCTGGCCATCCACTGGGCACAGTGTCTCAGCCAGACGGTAAATACACACTAGGCGCGTTCACATCGCACTACTTTTCCCACTTTAGTTCCGATATTGTTCCGAAATGTCGTGTTCACACCAAAAAGAGCCGGAACTTAAATTAGTTAATCAGAACCTTTTAACCCCCTTTTCCGTCCCTGCTAGGGAGCAGGTACTTTCGTGGGAGAAAAAGGTTCCTATGTCTGATTGGCTGGGCGGAATGCAAACCACGCCCCTTAAAACTCAAAAAAAGTGTTGTGAAGCCGCCATTTTATTATCCTCGCATTAGCATTATTAGCATTAGCCCAGCGCACAAACGCAGAGAGACTAACTTATGGCAACACAAAAGAAAACATGGGAGCGGTGGAGATGAGGAGGTGTCGGCGTTCTGGCGATTTACTCTGAAGGCTTCAGTAGAAGCTGCTGGGACTCCCAGCAGCTTCTACTAAAGCCAGTCCCTAACTCCGGGGACTTCCGGCCGAGGACTTGGGGTGGCAGTATTAGCCGTGAAGTTGTTTGCGGCCTGCCAGTAAACCCAAAGCAGCAGCAGCAGAAGAAGAAGAAGTGACGTCAGCGGCTTCATTTGCCTAATCCTTCCCCAGGAACTTATTCCGGTATGAACGCGATCTGTACTTAGTTCATCAGAACTCTTTAGTTATGATGAACTAAGTACTCATGAACCTTTGTGGGAAAAGTACTGCGGTGTGAATGCGCCTTTTGCTTCTAGAAATGTAGTGGGAACCAGCTAAAAATAAAGGATGTGTCTTCAATATTTGAGTTCAGAATCTTAAGGGGGGTTGCAGGAGATTTTCAATATCTGACATTTTTGCTTGACTCATTCTACAGTATACCAAACTCTACTTTCAAACTGCGATTTGCGTGTTCTTTGTGTTTTTTACCATTGTGTTCACAGCACAACGCTTGTGGAATCTGATCTTGTCAAATAGGATTTGGGAAAATTCAATGTGTTTCAAATATTTGTATTAAGAAGAAGCATACAAGTGTAAGCAATAGTACAGACTTCTTTGGGGTGGAAATCATGCTTCCCTTCTTCAACATACAGACAAACAGAACAGCCAACAAGAAATAATAAAGAAAACGCATAGCATGACAGGAATAACATACTTAATGACATACATAGTCATAGTGGGAAAGAACATACTAAATAGTATATTTAATAAAAATAAATAAATACACTTAAAGGGTGCAAATGAGCCCAGACTACCCCCCCACCCTTCCCTCCCCAAGCAGTGCCACCCAAGCCATTACAAAAACGATTGTTTGTGCAGTGCATCTCAGCCGACCGTCCCCCTTTTTATAAATGAAACCATTGGACCCCACATCCTTTCAAATTCCCCCAGTCTATCTTTTAGGATATATCGAAATATTCCGAATGCAGAGTAGGAAAATGTATGTGTAATCCCCCAAAAAATACAGGTTTGATTTTGCAATACAAGTCTCATATCAGAATTCATGCAACTATAATGTCATTGACACTATCAGGGTTCTGCACTGGGGATAATCACTCACAAATTCCCTGGCTTCCTTCCACTGCACATACACTTATACTTAAACCATTACCACTGACTTCAGTGGCCTCAATGTTTGTATCCGTACGACAGCGTGTGACATCTTTTATTATTTTGCTGCATGAACATTATTATGGTTAAATGTCTTTATTTGAAACATTACTGAGATAGTGTGCTTGAACACGCTACAGATCAGCAGTGGGGGCCAGTTGTGGACACACACAGACATGCAGCAGAGCACTTTGACAGAAAAACTGCAGTCACACATGCCTCTCCACCTGCTCCTTTCTGTCACTGCCCCTACAACTGTTAATGTGATCCTGGTCCAAACAGCCACATGCGCTGATTCTCTGACTGTATGTCCATGTGTTTCATGGTGGAATTCTTTTAACAACCAAAGAACTTACTTGTGTCCTTAATGCATGAAGCGTTTGTCTATGCTGCTTTAGTGAATGTGGCAGGCTCACCTTCTCTCCTTCTGTGTTTAATAACCCAGGGTGACGGAGTGAACTCGTACTACGACCAGAAGGAGTACATCGGCCGAAGTGTTCACTACTGGAAAGTTGTACATCCGCTGTTGGAAAAGATCAAAAACAGACGCAGCATACCAGAACCACTTGAGCCCCTCTTCAAGCACTTTTCCTCCAAAGATATTCAGGTTAACAAAATATTATTTTATCATTTGAAATGTTGTCCTCTCAAATCCTGAGGCAGTGTTGTCTTGAGCCTAAAGTTATGGCTTTTGGTCCTGCCATTTCTTACTTCTCATGTCCTGTTTTATGATAGCCTTTTATCTTTAGCGCCTTTATGAGTCCCTGCTATTATATATGATATCATTTATAAGTTAATGTTTGTAAAGTACCAGGTTGGCTTACGCATGTTTTCCTGTGCATGTCCATGTTCCTTTTGCAGATTTCTTCTGTGAAGGGATACGAAGAGGAAGCCAAGGTTGCATTCGCGGCTCTTCTGGACATTGAAGGCAAAACGGAGGAGGCCATTGCTACCTTGGAAACCATCAACAACATGTCATCCATATGGCAGTTAGCACAGGTAATAATATGCTTCTATACATAACCAGGATACATTCCTCTTTCCCCGTCTGGGTGAAACAAGGGCTGTCTATGTTCAGTCATTGTTTTTTCATCAGTCCAAAATGATTGTTGTTTTTATACAAATGAACCGGCTTTATCCCTATTCTAATTATTGGCAGTCTAGGTAATATGTGATCAAATTGGTTCATAAATAATATGGACACTTCTAACTGCTATTTGTTTCCTCCAATGTGCTGTGTTTCTTTGGCAGATCTACCAGCGACTTTCAGAAGAGGCCAGCAACGGGGTTGAAGAGACCCAGGACAGATGCATCACTTTCCTGAGGAAGTTTAGGACCTACCTGTCTAAGATCTACAACGCTAACGCAGATGACATTGAGAGGGTGAGTCTCATTTTTTTATTTTTGATGTCTTTAATGTGAACAACTCTTCAGCTGTGTAACCATTTCATACATGTCACAGCTGCCTGTCTCCATGGAGGAAGTTGTGGACCTCCTGAATGATGTGAACCAGCAGCTGGGTGAGAGTGCGGAGGGTATGGATGAAGAGGAGGAGGAGGAGGCAAGACGAAGAGGACCAGTCCATTCCAGCCCAGCTCACCCCCCAGAAACCTTGGCCACTATATCACACATTAAGTTTACCACTCCCTCACCGAACAAAAGCCTCATCTCTCCTTCAAAAAGACACCTGGTAAGTTCAGGTTATTGATCCAAGAAAATACTTAATTTATTTTTATATATTAAATGTCTCCTTAGGCGCGTTCACACCGGAGTACTTTTCCCACAATAGTTCATCAGAACTCAGATATATTTGCGTTCACACCAAAAAGCCCCCTGAACTAAATTAGTTCATCAGAACCTTTTTTTACCCTCTGCTAGAGAGCAGGGACTTTCGTGGGAGAAAAAGGTTCCTATGTCTGATTGGCTGTGCGGAATGCAAACCACGCCCCGTAAAACTCCAAAAAGGTTTTGTGAAGCCGCCATTTTATTATCCTCGCATTAGCATTATTATCATTATTAGCATTAGCCCAGCGCACAAACGCAGAGAGACTAACTTATGGCAACACAAAAGAAAACATGGGAGCAGTGGAGATGAGGAGGTGTCAGCTTTCTGGCGATTTACTCGGAAGGCTTCAGTAGAAGCTGCTCGGAGTCCCAGCAGCTTCTACTCAAGCCAGTCCCCAACTCCGGGGACTTCCAAAGCCCAAAGCAGCAGAAGAAGAAGAAGTGACGTCAGTGGCTTCATTTGCCTAATCCTTCCCCAGGAACTCATTGCGGTGTGAACGCGATCTGCTTTAGTTCATCAGAACTAAAAGAGTTCTCATGAACTGAGTTCTCATGAACTATTGTGGGAAAAGAACTTGGTGTGAACGCCCCTCTTGTTTTAATCATGGAGACAATTCAAATTACAAGTGAGTTTCTTTTCATAATTTCTTCCCCCTTTTAATTCAGATTTCCCCCAAGACACAACCTCATTGGGTGGAGGACCAGAAAAGTCTCCTCCAAATGCTGTGTCAGCAAGTTGAAGCCCTCAAGGTTAGGATAAGATATTACACTTGGTATGGTTTGGCTGTTGTTGTACTACTGAATTTATCATAGCTTAATGTAAATGATGGCGCTGATAAGAAATATGATAAAGTGTATTAAGAAAACGGGACAAGATTTGAATATCTTATGAAGGTCTCTAAAATACAAAGTTTTGAGTGAAGACCTACAGTTAAAGTTATCAAAAATTACAGGAACTACTTGATAGTTTTTAATGAATATAAAGTACTTGGTGTGTGATGCTTATATTCTTATTTTAGTCTGAGTTTATTTTCTGTAAAGAAGTTCAATTGGGTTAGTTCTCATTAAGCCCCTTGTTTTGTAGAATGAGGTTCATGATCTGAGACACAACTCGTCAGGGAACGCAGACTCCCCTCATCACAAAATGTATGGTGAGAGTTATGGGGCCGAGGGCCTGCAGGAGCCCTTCACCCCAGTCCAGTCCTACCACGGGGCCCCCCTAACAGGTCAGCACACTGCAACAATAAAAGATTGTCAACAATCAATGTATTTGTTTTTTTAAAGTACTGTTCAGAAATAATGTACACAATTAACAAGATATTTTTGTATTTCTATCTTTTTTTTAAGTTTCCACTACCACCCCCTACAACCAGTCTCCAGCTTCTAACTCTCAGTATCTCCTGCGCCCGGCAGCAAATGTAACCCCCACTAAGGTAATTATCACTGTTTAACTCTAGTCAACAGTAATACAGTTGTTTAGAGTATAAGGATGACAATATTTGTTATTGTCTTTACAGAGCCCAATGTATGGTATGAACCGTATGCCACCTCAGCAGCATATGTATGCCTACCAGCAGCCTACTCATACTCCTCCACTCCAGACAGCCCCAGCCTGCATTTACCCTCCTCAAGAACCAGTCTTTGGTGCCCCTCTTCGCTTCGAATCACCACACACAAGCCTTCTTTCCCCATATAGTGAAGAATATTATGGGCAGAGTGTACCCCAGCCAACTACGAACCCTCCCCTTCCTGAACCTGGCTACTTCACCAAGCCAACTGTAGTACCTGTGCAGCCACCGAAGAGCATTGACGGGAAGCCTATGGACTTTGGGAAGCTGTCCTTCAGCCAGCAGGCCCCCGCTGAAGTCCCCAGAGTGCCTAGTTTTGGAGCAGCAGGTGCAATTCCCCCGTCAGTGTCCCCATCTGGTTTTAAATTCAACTCCAACTTCAAATCAAATGATGGAGACTTCACTTTCCCAGGTTCCCAGGCCAAGCACAGTGAAAGCCTGCTTGGTCTTCTTACATCAGAAATTCCCACCAAAACGGACACTGCCCCAGATAACCTTCCAGGCCAGGAGCAGCCCCCCAACCAAACAAGCCTCTTCACCTTCGGCAACAAAACTGTTGCCGGCTTCTCCTTTACTGATCCTGCACAAAGCACAGCCACTGGGAGTCTTTTTGCAAAGACGGAGCAGCCATTCAAATTTGGTGACGTTACCAAGCCAGTGTTTGGGGTTGCCATGCCGGCAGCAGAAGAGGAAAGAGCAGCAGAGAGTGACAATGACGGCACTCATGTTGAGGAGGATGAGGATGGTCCTCACTTTGAACCCATTGTACCCCTGCCTGATAAAGTGGATGTGAAGACGGGTGAGGAAGAGGAGGAGGAAATGTTTTGCAATAGAGCAAAGCTGTTTAGATTTGACACAGACACAAAAGAGTGGAAGGAGCGGGGCATCGGTAATGTTAAAATCCTAAAGCACAGCTCTAAAGGAAAGGTCCGCCTCCTTATGAGAAGGGAACAGGTCCTGAAGATCTGTGCAAACCACTACATCAATGCTGATATGCTACTCAAACCAAATGCCGGCTCAGACAAATCCTGGGTGTGGAATGCCATCGATTATGCAGATGAAGAGCCTAAGACCGAACAGCTGGCCATCCGCTTTAAAACCACAGAAGAGGCATCCCTTTTCAAAGCCAAGTTTGAGGAAGCCCAGCAAGTTGTGCTCAATTCGACAGACAAACATGATCAACAGGAGAAGAAAGAGGAAAGCGTAAATGTTTCGTCATCACTGGCAGCCCAATTTTCTATTAAAGACGGGGAATGGGAGTGCAATGTTTGCTGTGTTAGAAATAAACCCACTGATATGCGATGTGCCGCTTGTCAAAGTGCTAATCCCAATTCTTCATCCAAACCAGACATTCAAGCTGCTGGTGAAACCAAAGCCAGTCCCTTTAGCTTCAAATTTGGGACTGATTCATCAAAATCCAGTAGTTCTGGCTCTACATTTACAGGGTTTGGTGCTTTTGGAGCGTCTGTCCCCTCCTCATTTACCTTTGGTACCAGCACCTCAAAACCTGCTGACACAGCAACTAATGCTTTTGGTGCTGGCTTTGGTGCTGGCTTTGGGGCTCAGTTTGGGGCTCAGTTTGGCAAGAAGCCCGGTCAGTGGGAATGCAATGTTTGCGAAGTAAGAAATGAGGCCTCGGCAGACAGTTGTGTTTCTTGTACGAGTCTTAAACCGAAAACGACTGCGATAGCACAAACGGCACCACCTACAGATGCCCCCTCTGTATCTGCATTTGCCTCTGGGTTTGGCGCCAAGTTTAGCAAGAAGGTCGGTCAGTGGGACTGCATTGTTTGCGAAGTAAGAAATGAAACCACTGCTGACAAATGTGTGGCCTGTAGTACCCCAAACGCTGCTGCTAAATTAACAGAGGGGGCTCGAGTAGCCCCCAATCCGCCAGCAGTGTCAGGATTTGGGGCAGATGCGGCAAAAAAGGATGAGCTGTGGGACTGTGATTCCTGCCTGGTCAGAAATGATGAATCGGCTGCTGAATGCATTGCCTGCAATGCTCCACGTCCCACTTCCTCTCTAAAAGCCATGTTTGACAAGAAGGACGGGGAATGGGATTGTGACATTTGTCTGGTGAGAAACCATGCCTCTGCTAATAAATGTTTGGCATGTCAAACACCGAATCCCAAAGCTAAAAGCACAAGCAGTGCCTCTGCCTCCACGTTTAGCTTTTCGTTTGGAACTAAGAGTTCATCAAGCCAGCCTGCTGGAACTGGATTTACAATGCCTTTTGAAACTGGCAGCACTTTTCAGTTTGGGCAAAACAAAGAGAAAAGCTCAGCTGCCTCTTTTAAGTTTGAAGTTCCTCAGGCTGCACCTAGTAGCACTAGTGATTCAGGCTTTTCCTTCACAATGCCAGTTCCAGCCGGTGGGTTCAAGTTTGGCATTCAGGACTCTACAGCAGAAAATCCCTCCACTGATAATCAAACACCTCAATCAGGGTCAGCCTCCAGTTTTCTGAAAAGTATAGCTGAAAAGCACAAGGAACAAGAACATGTGTCTTCAACCTCAGTGGGCCAAACGGAGCAAGGTCAAAATCCATTAATTTCTGGAAATACCAATACATCCAGTTTTGCGGACTTGGCCAGCTCCACTGAAGGGGACTTCCGCTTTGGCCAGGCGGACCCAGACTTCCATGGTTTCACGAGGGCTGGTGAGCAGCTGTTCTCCACCCCCACCAAGACAGGCGCAAATAATGAGCTAGATGACGAAGGCATGTATAAAACAGAAGAAAATGACGACATCCAGTTTGAACCAGTGGTCCAGATGCCTGATACGGTGGACGTGGTAACGGGGGAGGAAGATGAACAGGTTCTTTATTCTCAGCGTCTCAAACTGTTCAGATTTGACTCGGACTCCAGTCAGTGGAAGGAGCGTGGCGTAGGGGTCCTTAAATTCTTGAAAAACAGCACTAATGGCAGGCTAAGGGTGCTGATGAGAAGAGAACAAGTTCTCAAGGTGTGCGCCAACCACTGGATCAACACCACCATGAATCTGAAGCCCCTGGCAGGCTCAGACAAAGCATGGATGTGGTTGGCCAGTGACTTCTCCGAAGGAGATGCTAAACTTGAACAGTTGGCTGCTAAGTTTAAAACCCCAGAGCTTGCATTGGAGTTCAAGGAGAAGTTTGAAGAGTGTCAGAGACTTCTCTTGGACATTCCTTTACAAACCCCCCACAAGCTCGTAGACACAGGCAGAACAGCACGCCTCATTCAGAAAGCAGAGGAAATGAAATCCGGTTTGAAAGACCTGAAGTTCTTTTTGACAGACGGGAAAACAAAGATCAAAGGCGAGGATAGCCAGGGAGACGTCACAACATCCAGCAATGTCTCAAACCTTGCAATTAAGCCTCACGGTGAAACCACCGGCCCCACCTTAGAGTGGGATAACTACGACCTAAGAGAGGAGGCTTTAGAGGATACTGCCGACTCATCAGTCTATGCCTCTCCTCTTGCCAGCAGCCCCCCGAGGAAAAACCTTTTCTGCTTTGGAGAGTCAACCAGTGGCTTCAGCTTCAGCTTCCAACCTGGCACCAGCCCCTCCAAGTCTCCTGCTAAGCTTAACCTGAGCAGAGCCTCAGTGGGTACTGATGACGAGCAGGACGTATCCCAGGACGAGGAGAGGGACGGCCAGTACTTTGAACCTGTGGTCCCCTTGCCTGATTTGGTGGACGTTTCCACAGGGGAAGAAAATGAACAGGTGGTCTTCAGTCACAGGGCCAAACTGTATCGCTATGATAAGACACTGGGTCAGTGGAAGGAGAGGGGCATTGGAGACCTTAGGGTCTTGCAAAGTTATGACACCAAACGAGTGAGGTTGATAATGAGGAGAGACCAGGTACTTAAGATCTGCGCCAACCACCGGATCACATCCGCCATGAAGCTTGAACCCATGAAGGGCGCGGAGAAGGCCTGGGTCTGGAGTGCCATGGACTTTTCTGAAGCCGTAGAGGGAAGTATTGAACAGCTAGCTGTGAGATTCAAGCTGCAGGACACTGCAGACACATTCAAACGGGTATTTGATGAGGCCAAGGTCGCCGAAGAAAAAGAGGAACTCATGACTCAAGTGACAGAGAGCGATTCCATGCCGCAAGACGGCGAACCTACATCATCTGTCCAGAGGGCTACATCTTTGTGTGGAAAGGCAGCCATCGCTGTTCTGGAAGAGACCACAAAGGAACGTACCGAGCTCCCCCCCGAAAGTAAGCCAATCATAGCTGGGCCTCCAACTCCAGTCAACGCTTCAAAGACAGTGGTCTCCCCCCCTAAGTTTGTCTTCGGCACTCAAAGCCTTCAGAAGATTTTTGGTTTTCCTAAATTTCCCTCTGAGGCTGAGGAATCTGCATCCGGTTCGAAAGCCAAAGATGGATGTTCTGCAAAGGCTTCACCAGCAGAACCAGCCTTCAAGATCCCAGAGAAAGGTAAAAATACTTCATATATTTGTCTGATTTTGTTTTTGAATGAGTATCACGACTGTTTTTGTTTATTTGCGTATACTCCATGGTCTTGTTTCATCAGCATCTCATTTGCTCCACCATCTTTTCAAGACCTTTTTCAAAAATGTCTAAGATAGAGTTGCATTTGAATCAGTGATTTCCCATTTAATCTCCATGTAGTCACTATATAACACTGTTTCATTATGTTATTTCATTATTTCTATACATTTTGAGTATGTTGCAAACCCTTGAAATCAAACACAATTCATTCAACACACACTCAAACACATATACAGTAGATATCACATTTTTATTTTTAACACTTTTAGCCATGTTCTTTATTATACCAGCCTCACAATTAGTTTTTCTTCGCCCAACTACCCATCATCCTTCAGGGCTGGATTTTAGGCTTTTCAAAGATAACCCAATGGCTTTTTGGACCAGCACATCAACTACCCAATTTGAACCCCCAGGTACTCTAACTACTGCGGTGTGTGTTAACACTTCTCAGCTGTCACCTGGCTGGCCCTTATCACTAGACAGAAATAACTTGGATGCACGGAGTGAAAAGAAACCGCTAACGTGGTGCATGTCCGGTGTGTGGATGAGCAGTTTTTAACACGCAACAGTTCTTGCCATAATAAAATGTGTCTCACACAGGAGAGTTTAAATGTGCTAATTTATGTGCCATTTTATACACCACACACCACATTCACAGATGTAACTAAAGATGCTAAAATGGCTATGATGGTAAAGGTTAATGACAAGTAAGCATTTCCTTAATCAAGCTACAGTTTAGTGTAGCAACAGGAGACTCATCAGTAAACCTGAACGTCTTCTGAAAGGTGAGCTGGGGAGATTCCTCGGAGAATGTTTCCTCAGAGGGGAGCGCACTATGCAAACGTCACAGGTGCCATTTTTAGAGAAGGATGTGTAGCAACAGCATGAAATGCAATTCCCTGTCTAGTCTGGCTTCTGCCGGCAATGCGCACCTCAGCAAAGGCTAATGACAGTAAAAACTCAGGTGTTTTTACTAATTAATGTTTCATGACCACGTGTCCTACAGTAAGTTGGTCAAATGAAAAAGCACTGAGACTTGTCCCACACATTAGTAAATCAAATGCATGTTGTTCATTTTTGCATTTGTGCATGATTTATTTGTGGTGTGTGTGTGTGGAACTAACACCTCTGGCTATGAAAGGAATGAAGAAGCTCCTTTTTAATATATGCACTTCGATCCCAGGCTGATTAACCTGTTCTGCTTCTTTTGTATCCGTCTGTCACAGGGCCCCCCCAGGAAGAAGGAGGTAGCGTTGGGTCGTACAAGGACTCGGAGGTGGAAGTTGTGTATGTCAGGGAACCAACTGCCGAACAGGCAGCTTTAGCCCAGGAACTCCTGCTGCCTCTCACCTTCTTCTGCTACCAGAATGAACCAGGCTACACCAGCGACGACCAAACTGATGGTAAAGATATTTAGATAGTCGTCAATTCAGGAGATTAGTCGAATAATCATCGCACGTATATGATATATTATAAATATATATATATATATATATATTATTTTTTGTATCCCTCTGCACATTACACCCTCACCATGGAATGAAAGCTTTAATCTATTGTTTTCTAAGGTCAGAATGATTAGATATTAAAGGTCTTTAAATGTTGATACAAGGCTAGTCAAAGCACACCATTTATTTTTTTCTTCGACTAATGGACTAATGCTTTTTTGTCCGACTAACGTTTAGTTGACAAATTTGCAGCCCTAAACTAATTTTATTATCGTTGTAACCTCATTTTGTGCATTTTTTTTAAATAGTTTTCCGTCATTTCATTATCACCATGCACATCCTCTTAAAGGTCCCATGTCATGGCCATTTCTACTGATCATAATTCCATTGTGGAAAAAGGAGTCTTTTTTTATTATGGTCCTTGGTCTTGGAATGACCTTCAATCAAGCCTAAAACTGAGGGCACTTGTCTCAATAGCATGTTTTAAATTGAAGTTGTCTGAAGTCCTTACCACCAGCTGCTCTTGCAGTAATAAGTAGTGTACCTTTCTTACTGTCCTAATGTGCACAATGTAGTGACAGCTTTGTGTTAGTGTAATGTTGCTGCCTTCTTGGCCAGGTTAGCATTGAAAATGAGATTTTATCTCAATGCTTTTATCTGGTTAAATAAAGGTTAAATACAAATAAAATAAAATTGTTGAGGTATACTAAAATAGATTTATATTGTACAATTTTCCAAAATCACATTGGTTTCTCATACAGCATCTCTGTAAAGTATGTGTATTCACTCTCTGTCCTAAACGGCTTGTTGGAGCTCATACTTATTTGTGTTAATGTTTGACTTTGGTGAAGCAGAACTATCCCTTTTAAAATATGGGTTTACTCAGAAAA